TCCATCTGACCGTGTGTATTATCTATTGGTTAAATTATCGATTTCCGTTGCATAGCAGCCTTCAGGCAAACGATAGGAAATGTGTCAAAGCAATTTCACAATATCCCATGCGAGACTGTCCGACAATTTATCGAAATGTTCCGAATCTCTTGGTAAATTGATCATGCCTACCGATGATTTATCTTTCACCGATCTAATTCAACGTTCGCGACAAGTTCGGCGTTAAAACAACAATTACGATACGCTTAATCGGGGTGAATATGTGAGTTAACTGGTTGAAAGAATATTCTCCTTCCTAAATTCTCCAGAACTTCGTAATAAAATTTCATTTCACACATCAATTTATATTTTAATTTATTTCCAAATGTTCAACGACAAAAATTTACTTGAGTAATTCATCGAATTCGATGTTGCCCAATGCAACTCCGCTTTCCTCTCTCATTTTTCATATCTCTGTTGCAAATTCTTGCAATGCAGTTAATTATAATTTGCACGCGAGTGGCGCGCAAAAAGATAAATCATCGAATTTTAATGAAAGCGGATGGCAAGCCGCGTTGAAAACTTCTTACGGAAGGTACCGCGATGTTATTAATTTACCAAAGACAAATTACCCTGTCTCTGGCAACAACCTGTTAAGTTCGCTGCCGCGACTTCGCCTGTTATATCAAGATCCATGAACAATTTGCAGCTCCGTAACAGGTCTTATAATTACCTGAATGCCGCTCATCGTTACACATCATTGGTACACATCGCGCGTGATAGTCAACCAAATATTGTCGATAAAGATCGACAGTATGCGATATCGTGTAATCGAATACGTTATCGAGTAAACTATCAACGGGACATCCCAATGTTTACAAATGGGAATGAAGGTACAAAGGGAAACTTCGATTTGAGCACGTTCAATAGCGTGGCATAGTCTTTTCTTCGAAAGAAAACCATATTCAAGACGTAATGAAACAATTTTCTATCTTTAAAACTACGTCTCAATTCGAATCTTTAAAACCATCATATTCCAATTAAACCATCGTAAAACTATCTGAATACATGGAATCCGGTTTCCCTCGATCTGTAAAATAAGCTTCTTTCGCTCACAAAGAACTCGAGGACGTAAAAAGACCTACGAGGAACAAAACCGCAATAAAAGAAGGAAATCCTCTCACGAAAAGGCGGGACTTTATGCAAATTCGCATAAACCTCCCAGCAACCCGGCCTCTAACGAGTTCAATTCCAATCAGATCGTGACTGATTTTCGTTAACTCTCGGTACACTACTGAACAAATAAGGAAGATTTCACGTTCCCTTCATCTCTTTCCGCTATTTTCATCTGACCGTGTAAATTATACGACACAACCAGCGAATATCATCCCACGTATCCGAGAGAGTCTCGCCTGAGAAACCGCTAGCTTTCTGCCCAATTATTTTCGTATCTCTGCCAGCTATGACCGCTATCCGTCCGTATCCCTCTGCCCTCACCCTTGTGGCTGGTCGTGGACCACACGTGTCCTTGTATCCATTCCCGACTACCTTTCACCTGGATATCACATTCAGGAAATGGGAAAACCATAATGGCCGCTGAAATGCAACCTCGGAAAATGTCTACGGCTATATATGCCTCGTCCCGTTTCCGATGCTATATCTAGACCGAGTGTGGAACACTCGGCATGAACGAAATTGAAAAGTCTACAAGGTATGTAACAGGCGAGGTGGACGATTCAAACCCAGCCAAATTTGTTCGTAATTACAAGAATATAATCAGAGAATTACGGCGCAAACACGCTCTTCAAGGAATACGAGCGAAGAGTGTCTGTATGAATAAGTATTTGATGAATAAGTGAAATTTCATTTGTCAATATCGTAGTAAATAATTAATTATTAATACGATAATTTTGCACAATAATTAATTTATCAACTAATAATACTAAATACACCTTCTTCCATAAGAATTTTATATTTTCCGAATGCGTGTAATATTTTATGGATTTCAAGAGAAAATTCGCGCTATCGCGTAAACCATCGATGAACCATATACTTTTGTTACATGCTATGTAATACGTTATCGCTGAATAGTACTTGCTCATTTTCGATAGAATACAACTTCCACGCAACTTCCCGTAAACTGCTACTACAAATTCCAAAAATTATCATTTTGAAAGGATATCGTTCTCATATCAGAAACAGAAACGTATTCAATGCATACAGAAGTCTAATATAAAGGAGAAGAACGGAACACGTAGGTGACAGTAATAGCGGGAATTCGTATTATCGACTGCGGTCCCAGTAATCGATTCACGGGGAAGAATCGCGTCCTCCCTTTACCGGGGGCGTCAGCGTTTCACCCGCCGCGCGGCGTTGTGCATCTCTCTTCATGCATCACAATGTGTTGCTGCACTGCATTACGCAATATGTCACAGTCAGGTCATACGGGTCAACACGCCAAAGGAACACCATCTCGAAGTTTCTAAAGCGTTCGAACTTCTCGACAAATTGGCTTTACGGGAAGAACATACCGTCGCGTGAATAATAATTATATTTTCTCCATAGAATTTAATCCCTTGTTCTTTATCTAATATCAGATTCATCTACCGAACTGGTGCAAAGTATTCGAACAAATACACATACAATACACAAATACAATACAAACACTCTCTGAACTAAAAGTATCCGTTACACTACACAATTGTTGTGTACAGTATCTACGATTATGTCGCAGAAGAATTGTGTTTAGTTAACGCTTAATATGAATAACGGGACGATATGTCTCAAATCGTGGGAACAATAAATAGACCTATAAAAATTGTTTCTAAAAGTAATAGATCTATCTTATCTCTTACTTATAATCGAAATAACACGCTCAATTGGCGATAGATATATATGCGTAATTAATTAAGAAATCCTGAGATACCTTGTGTACATACAATCCGACCGAAACGCAATTCCTTTAATTGGTTGCTTTAAATAATAACTAAAAACGGGAGATGGATGCCGTGAAAAGAAGTTCTTTCGAAAGTTCACAGACAGATCTGCGATCGCGTTTAACAGCGGCGAAACTTTTACATTCGTACTTCTTCGAACAGTTGGAAATAAATCCACGGATAGATACACGATCCGGTGAAATCTTAATTTCCCTGAAATTGATGAAAGCATTTGCGCTATCGAATTTACAAAGATATCCGCGATTCTTTCAAGGTTACCATGGAATAGGGCATGTTGTGGCTCCACAAAATATTAATTTCTGGTCAAAATAACTTCTAATTATTATCTTATTCGTTATCTAATTTATATTTCTTATCAAGGTACTAATTTCTAATAAAATAATTTTTAATGAAAATGATGTGCGACTAATGACTGAAAATAAGAAAAATAAAAATATGCAGACTTTTCCGCGAGAAACTTGCTTTACGTGAAATGAGCCTTAGCTATAGCGACTAAACGACCCGAAACGACAAAATGCATAACAAGCAGGCAAGAAAAATAATCAACGTCCACTCGTAAGTTCTTTGGCAAGATGGTTTTAGAAATTCTGCGTATAATCGTGCAGCAGATTCTCGAGGAACGTTCTAAATCTAGAATTTCTAATGTTTCACTCTTTTAAATGTACATGTTTAAATAAGATGGTAAAAATACATAATATTAATAAATATAGATATTCCAATTTTCATCCTCTATTTAAAGAACTAAAAAAAAAAAACTTAAAAGAATGCTGCAGAGTTAATACAAAATAAAATAAGAGTAAAAGTACTAATTAAACCGCGAAACCATTAAGTAGTCTGTGAAATTAAAAAGGATATTAATTTATACATAGATGATTGAAAAGTGATAATCTACGAAAATAAATCACTCGACACAGCTAAGGACCTATTCTAGCCATTCTTCATCAGACATGAACGACTCGACTCAAGAATCAAATATATACCGAAAGCATGAATACACTTTCGATTCTTTCAATGGTTTTGCATTCATTATCGTGATTTTTCATCCCCTTTCTGGCATGTAATAGATGCATCTTAGAAAAGAGGCGGGTCACTTTAGATTTCATAGCACGAAACGATCATCTATGTATAATAAGGCCTGAGTAATTTCTGTATTCGCATCAAGAGACACGAGTGGTTTCTGAGATTATGGAAATGATTATTTAAGAGAGTCTTGTCTGAGACACGTGACAGGATGCATTGAGAATTTCGCAAATAATCGATCGTTTAAAACTAGATGAACACTCTCAGCAAATAGACATGGAACATTTGTTATAAAAATTCTCATTGTTTGATTGGTTATTTCGTTTGTTTCATTTCTTTTGAATATTTTATCTCTCTCGTGAATATCGTATCGATAGCCGTTCAATGAATTTAAATTATTAGTGTGGTAAAATAATATGTTTCATCCGATATTACAATATTGCTAATATACTATCTTATGTATATTAGTTTAGTATCAATATAATATTGTTTGCATAAAATTCTATAAAAACATGCTTTTATATTATTTCAAGGGAAAATCATTTTTCAAGAAAAATTTTAATTAAAATAAATGATTCTGTCGACCAGAAAAATTTAATGAAACCAACAAAGTAAAATTGAAATATTTTTATTATAGCTTGTTTGAAAATAGCAAAGTAACCAAACAAAATATGATTCTGTGATCTAAGCTCTTATGTTATCCTTTATTTATACCATATTTTTAAATATACAAACTCATGTTAAGAAGATAAATAATACTATATTTATACCTTTATTTGCATAAATAAGGTTCTACTGAATTTTGTGTCAAAATGATATTATTAATATTGATTTTAAAACATATGAAATAGTATGCTTGAATTTTCTATGTTTTATGAAAGTAATCATTACTTATTACATTATTGTAGGATACACAATTCATTTTATTTTACTTATATCTTGAATCAAAGTATTTTTATCAAAACCTAGTTTTTATAAAAAGTTATTTTATCATAAATTAATATTAATCAACATTTACAAGTAAATTTGTTAATCTAAAGTATCTGAAGTTGTATAATATGTACCCAGCAGATATTTATTTCACATTCTAAAACGCAACTCTCAATATGAATATCATTTGCCTTAACGGCAAGAATACAATACAAGAGAATACAATACGTCGATCTTTAATCCGATACGAAGAGAAATATTATAAACAAATAATGCTTTTATCCTGTACATTCAAGCAAACATCTCATGTACAATATTACGATCCATATATTGCATCTCACATGTTATACTTCTTATATTACTAACGAATCTCTTTTTCGATCCGTCAAACAATTAAAATAAAAATAGAGATCTGGATTCTGTAAAAGAATCGTTTCTGTAAGGGCATGGCAATTTCATTACTGGAGAGACAGAAGATTAAAAGAGAAACTAAATATGTACTACCATTCGAAAATTTGAAATCACAGAAATAACGCAAAAGAAAGGAAGAAATCAACTACAGAAATTAACAAAATGTTACTGTTACCACAAGATATTAGAGAATATAGTTATATAAGTATAGTTAAATCAAATAGGTAACATAAAATTAAATAGGTATTGTTATATATAAAGTAATATTAATATTAAATTTTACAAATATTACTTTTCAATAATTGAAGACATTCATCGGTTAAAAGATTTTAAAAAATAACAAAGTTCGAATATCAAGGATCAGCCCTTAACATGATTTAACATGACTAATTTTAGGAACAGTAATGTACACAGATGCGAAGATACTAATCGCGATCGATACAGAAGTCCCTCAAGTTTTTATAAGAGTCGAAATTAAAAGCCTACCGTAACGTTGATTAAAAATTTACACCGTCCAGCTCGCGTACAAGTCTGAGGGTGACCTCTAAGGTAGAAATATCACTATGCCATTTGGCCGATGAAGCGTTAGGATCAACCGGATGTGGCGTCTCGAGATGCAGTCGATATCTGGAAAATTGTGACTGGTTTTACGCTCTGGCAGATTTACGGACTCGTAAAATTGTCAAAGAAATTCCGGCCCAACTGGAGTCAAAGCAACGAAAGTTCGTAAGGGATTGCCTGATAAATCGTTGGGTTCCTGTCTCACCTTGGGCTCCGCACGTCGATCGCTTCGGTTTCCACGGACAGCTCGATTTTCTCGCGCACTTCCTGCGGCATCTTCACCAATACGGACAACCACTCGCAGGATGCGGTCCCTGGCGTTTTGAAACCCATCTGATTTAGCAAGAAAATATGACTTAGTTCTTTATTATAATAGAAGTATATACAATATATATACTAAGTTTAGTTTAGGTTCAACTTTTACGTAATTAACACTTAAATCCACTTTACGTGATTAAGTAGCCATGATTAATCATTTGCTGGTTTCTTTGGAATTGAAAGCTTTTTTAATATACAGAATGAAAACAGTTCTTCAAAATACGAAAGAAATACAATCATGAAAATTTAACTATTTTAAATAATTAATTGCGACGTAACACACATAAATAAAAATGAAAATGATCCTATGTTATAAAGAACGTATTTTTATGGTTTTAGTACATAATTGTTCGAAATAAATACTTTAATGTGACATATTTCTTGCAAGATAAACAACAAGATAATAACGGGAATTTCATGAAGTGATCACTACTTAATTGCAAATAATATAGGAAAATGATTGGTACCAGGAAAACCACGATTCACTGGAAGCAAGGTTGTATTATGAGTCATTTAATTCAATGAGAAGCACTCGTTATTAATAATCTCGAGGGAATTACGTGTAATATGAAAGATAAGAGGAAAAAACTACTGAAAATGTCTCGGGTACAAAATAACATATAAAACACGAGCTGTTTCATGCTATAATAAACATGGTGCACAGAATATTACACGAGAAACAAAATTAACACTAAAAGAAGAGAACTAATTTTAATTAAATCGATCTCAATTCTTGTAAAGTAAAAATATAATATACATTTTAATGTAAATTATGTAATAGGAAAAAGAACCCTTGAATAAATAAATCATTACTAAAATATTAGCAATTCGTGTGACGAGTTAATACTTGACATAGAACAATGAAATATAATAAAGTATAATATAATATATCATAATAAACTTTGAATGAAATAAAATTCTATCACAGCGACTATTTGCATTTAACACCAACAATTCGCAACCTGTAACAAGGAATTAATTAGGAAACTTCTATTGAAAATGTGTGCAAACTAGCCGAGTTTAAGAGCGATCTATTTGCTGTACACATGTTGATGCGATACTAACGCCCAAAAAGACGTCTTCCGCCGTCACCGCCTGCTTAAATTTCATCTCATAATCCGGCACCTTTCTTGGATCGTAGGCTTCCGTACTCTGCGAAGCAACTGCTTCAGACGGATGCCAAATATCATCAACTTCCGCTTTCAGCGGTGCATGTGGGCCCGAACGGTCTTGAAACTTTCCATTTCGAGTACCGATATCGCCAGGTCCTTAAAAATATCTATTTTATACATCGCGTATACTGTCGCAAAAACTAAAATTTTCTTATTAAATTGCGAATATTTATTCACTGTACAAAATCAATGTACAAAAATACACTAAATGTAGACAATATACACGAATATTTACAATATCCAAAATAATCAATATTATTGCCAGTAATACATATTATTCATATGTTTATATTATTCATAATACATATAATTTCATATGTTTTAATATGAATATAATACAGTGCAATTTATTTTGAATAATTTTATATATTCTACTTTGCACATACGCACACCATTTTGTTTAAGTAAAATGTAATTTTCAAACAAAAATACACTAATTATCATCATAAGAATAATAGCTTCAACTTTAAACCATTTTAAGTGATTATTATAGGAAAAAGAAATCTTTGTATTGTAAATATCAAATATTAAACGAGTGTAGAGAAGAAACAATTATATCCTGTAAACTTGTTAAATCTTACCAAGTTTCCGAGCGCCAGCCTGTGGTAAATCATCCTCAGAATCTGAATCATTTTTAAGAGGATTAATTAATTCCTGTAATGCTTTCAATTCGTGATAACCAAAACAACCATCCATTTTTCTAATCGAGTGAAAATATCCTTCAGATTGATATTAGACACAAACGACTAGTACTGAACGCGCCAATCAACAAACGTCGTTGTCAAGGTAACATACTTCAAATATCGTACTAGTAAAAGTGACAATAAGATAGAAAAGAATTATAATTTCTATACACATTTTTATTTATTTGAAATATATACTTAGAACAATGAAATATAGTCTTCAACATAAATAATTTTAAATAAAAAGAAAATGTATTTAAAATTAAAACCATATGTGAACTGAAAAATAAAACGATTACTTCGGCAAATGGGCACCTTTCAGGATCACCAACCACAAAGTGAAAATCTTTTCTACGGAAGTGTACCAACATGGCTGACAATATGAATGTACCAGTGTTATCAAAAAAGTGAGTAAAATAATAATACTAATAGAAAATTAGATTTCCAAATTTCCTATCTTGCATCTATGAAGAATTTTTTATTACCTATATTAGTAATTTTGACATAACCTACATAGAACAGCGATCGGTGCCATATTTTATCTACCCACGTTGTTATATGAATAACTGATTACATTGATATGTCTTTTTCAAGCACTAAATAGCAATATTTTGTAAATATTTTTGAACAAATATATTTATTGTGTATGTATATACGTTAAGTATTATAGCAACGATAATTTTAATTAACTATGTTGTGCAACATAACCAAAGCTTTTGTTGATGTGGTATCGCCGGTATTTTATCAAGCAAAATCAACAAAATTGCATCAGATATCTATACGCCATTTTTACATAAAGTGCGTATGTCTTAATCAAAATCATATTTATTTATATGCGTAATATAACCAATGTTCGTTGTGTTCCAAATTTGCTTACAGTGAAATAAAAAGGCGTTTGAAAGCAGAGCAAAAACTGAAAGAAAAAGCAGAAAAAGAAGCAAAAACAGTTACTCAAGCGATAGTGGAAGACCGAACCAAAACTCAGGAGAAAAAAGAAGTTCAAGAAGAAGATATTGCTCCAAATGTGAGTATATATATATATATCATGATAATGTTAAGGATCTTTTTAATTAAATAAACGCTATGTTATGATTGTATTTACATTAGATATGTAATGATTTTTAGGAATACATTAAACTTAGGACTCAAGCAATCAAGAATCTCAAAGATGCGAATGATAATCCATACCCACATAAGTTTCATGTATCAATTTCATTGGAAAATTTCATTGAAAAATTCAGTAATAATTTAAAACCTGGAGAAATATTAGACAATGAAGTATATAGCGTAGCTGGTCGTGTACATGCAATTAGAGAATCAGGTGCTAAACTGATTTTTTACGACCTTAGAGGAGAAGGTGTTAAAATTCAAGTAATGGCAAATGCAAGACAGTATAAAGATGGAGAAAAATTTGCCACTGATACTTCTAAGATAAGAAGAGGTGATATTATTGGTGTAGTTGGAAATCCTGGAAAAACTAAGAAGGGCGAATTCTCCATTATACCACATAGTATTACTCTTTTAAGTCCTTGCCTGCATATGATGCCAAATCTCTATTTTGGATTAAAAGATAAGGTACAAAATGATGAAACTCCTCTCTTGATATATATCTGTTTAAGCTAATAACCCTTGTATTATTTTTAATAACTTAGGAGACAAGATTTCGTCAGCGTTATTTAGATCTTATATTAAATGATAAAATAAGAAAAACGTTTCATGTACGAGCAAAAATAGTTGCATATATCCGCAAATTTCTTGATGAACTTGGATTTTTAGAAGTTGAAACACCAATGATGAATATGATTGCTGGTGGTGCAACAGCTAAACCTTTTGTTACACATCATAATGAATTAAATATGGACTTATACATGCGCATTGCTCCAGAATTATATCATAAAGTAAGAGGTATTTCGTTATACTCACAATTAAATATTGTTTGTAAATTATATATTAATACATTGTTGTGTGTGCATAATTGTAGATGTTGGTAGTAGGTGGACTGGATAGAGTATATGAAATTGGAAGACAGTTTAGAAACGAAGGGATAGATTTGACGCATAATCCGGAATTCACTACTTGTGAATTTTATATGGCTTATGCAGATTATAATGATTTGATGTCTATTACGGAAGATATGGTATCAGGAATGGTAAAAGCTATTCATGGCAGTTATAAAATAACATACCATCCAGATGGGCCAGAGGGTGAAGCAATTGAAATTGACTTTACTCCACCATTTAAACGGGTTTCAATGATAAAAACTTTAGAAGAAATTTTAAAATTTAAGTTGCCTCTACCGGATAAATTAAATACCCCAGAAACAAATCAAATACTTACTGATCTGTGTACCAAACATGAGATTGAATGTCCTCCACCAAGAACAACAGCTAGATTACTGGATAAGGTAATATGAATTTTAAATTTAAGGAACTTTTATAGTTACATATATTTATCAACAAATTTTTAACAGCTCGTTGGGGAATTTATAGAAGAAACTTGTATCAATCCTACATTTATTTTGGATCACCCACAAATTATGTCTCCATTAGCAAAATGGCACCGTTCTGAACCAGGATTAACAGAACGATTTGAATTATTCATTATGAAAAAAGAAGTATGTAATGCATACACAGAATTGAACGATCCTATAGAACAAAGAGAAAGGTAAATGTTAATTAAACAAAAACCTTTCATAAATTCCAATTACAGTTTGATTTAAAAAATTTATTCAATATTATGAATATATAGATTCGAGCAACAAGCAAAAGATAAAGCAGCTGGAGATGAGGAAGCTCAACTTGTTGATGAAAACTTCTGTACTGCATTGGAATATGGTTTACCACCAACTGCTGGTTGGGGAATGGGTATTGATCGTTTTACAATGTTACTTACAGATGCAAATAATATCAAAGTAAGTTTTTAAATGATAAAAATATATAAACAACAGAATATGATAAAAAAAAAAATATAATGATGATGTATCGTTAGGAAGTACTGCTGTTCCCACAAATGAAGCCGGATGATCCAAATAAAAACCAAGGAATATCTGAAGATGATAAAACATCAAATGATAATGTAAATCATGTACAAAACTGAAAGTTTAATTTAATTTTCCCGTGATCTTCTGTTGCAAACTGAAGAATAAACAAGATATACTTCTAAAAACTAATGATTTTAATATTTCGTCATTTTTATTTCACATTTTATATGTGTTACTCACCATCAAAATAGTACAAAACTATAAGAACACATGACAAAAGTATTAGCATATATTATTCACGCATACACAATCTTAATATTTCTACTGCAATAATATCGCTTTAATATTTGCTTCATTTTCATCACAAATTAAATTTTTGTTACAAAAAATGTAAATCATATTTAAATAGGTATTTACATTAAAACTTGGGAAGAAGCAAGCACTGAATAGTAAATGTGTACTTGCAATTTGCTGGCAGCTTCTTTATATTGTCAAATATTTAAGTAATAAATAAATAAAATTTTCTCTCACATAATAATAGTGCAATAATTATTTTACAAAAATCCACAAAGGAAAACCTATTAATTTGTTATTTTGTTACCTTCGACTAAATTTACTATTTAACAGAAGTTACAGCCTTTTAGATATATATTAGTTAAAATTGCCAGAGAAACGTCGAACTATTAATTTAAAATTGATATGTTTCCTGGACACTTATATTGTGGCAGCTTTCAATAGTTCATATATTTTATCATAGTAAAAAGTATTATGAAACATGCTTAATTTCTCTTTCGTAAATATTAGTCAGATACAAGATCCATTTCTATCAGCTTTCTTCTTCTATAACATATTTTGTAACAGAATTATAATGAGCTCCTAGTTCATACATATGCCGGTGATAAGTCAATATCATTTTTTTTTCATTGCTATAGTCTTCACCAATAACATATGGTGCTCCTGATGCCTGAATGACTTCTATTGGACATTTCAACACATGCGAAAGAACTTGTAGCTATTTTAAACAAAAATGATTTTATAAATTTTAGAACAATACATGTATTTCCATAGTTTATTTAAACTTGCCTCAATAGCTCCACCCCAGGCACTTGTATCTGCTACATCATCACAATATTTTTCATATTGTTCTGGTGAAAGAACATCATCAGAATCTGGATTGGAAATAAATGGTAAAAATTGATTCATATTTTCTCTCAAATATATAGCAGTTTTTGTTCTAAGTTCATGAAAATTCAATGGAGTTTCTCCTATAATTTTTAGTTGATGTGCAACAGCATTATATAAACTGCAAAAATTAATTTGGTAGCAGTGTAAATAAAGTAAAAAAATTCGTACTTTATGCCCCAAATTATTTTAAACAATCGAAACAAGTAACTCACCAATGGCCATCACTTGGAATCTCATAAATCATCAAACCACGTTCACAGAGTATTTTCTTAATAGTTTGCAATTCTACATTTCTTTTCCCAAAAACATTTAATGCTTCTTGTTCTATAATTCTCTGATTGCGTTCCCTTTCTGCATTTGCTTTCTTGTCTCTTCTCTTCTGTGCTTTTGAAATTCTATGTGTTGGTTGTTCATATTGTTTGTTGTCTTTTGTGCTTTTGTCATTACTATTATCTGTATCTTCATTTTCCACATTATTGATATTAAGATGTGTAACTTTCCATGTAGTAAACTCTTCTTCTTGTCTTTTATCTAAAGCTTCTTCTAAGCGATTGATTTCCTCAGTTACTTCTTTCTTCTTCTTCTTATCACCCTTACAAATTGACTTTTTTAGCGTTTGTATTTGTGCTAAAATTTAATATATAGTAACTAAAAGGTCATACATTTGAAAAATGTTATTAAAAATATAATATTAAATATTTACAACATAATAAAATTCTATTAACAAATCGTTTACGTAAGCACAATATTGTAAATCATCTTACGTTAAAGAACCTACTATTATTAATAAAGAAAAAATATCCTATAAACTACAATTATATAATTTTATTACCTTGTAATTCTTTCCGTTCTTTTTTATGTTTTAATGTTAATTCTTCTTCTGTTAATTCTAATTCTGCCATTTTTTAATTTAGAGGTTATTTAGAAACTTTTTTTAAGGTTAAGGAATAAAGTACCGACATGATAAACGAATGATGCATCATAGCATTTTCATGAATCAATTTTCACTTTTGACATGATATTAGGTAAGCCTTAAATTTCGTATTTTTGGCTTAAGCTAAATATCTAAAAATTGTTGAATATTGAATGATTGAATCTATCTATTTTTGAGAAAAATTTCAAAATCTGTTATTAGATAAAAAAATTAATTACTTTAAAATTTACTAAACATTTCTAATTTTTACCTATAATTTCATAAATGTTTTGAATGTTTTAAATTTATAATTTAAAAATTTATAATTTAAAAACAGCGAATAAAAGATAGTTACTTATATAGTGCAATAAAGTAATCATCGTTTTCATAGAAACATGATTAAGGAGGCTATTTACTATATCGTTATATTCCAAACTATACCACAAAGAGCAGGCTTTCATAGCTTATGGTTATTAGCTATATGGTTGTTTAGTCATACAGTTACTGTGATAGAAGAAAGTTGTGTAACTACTTCGATTGTTGACTTAATTATTAAACATTAAAAATGGCAACTGATGAGAATTCTTGGAGAACACAAAGTTTCCGACAAAGTGTAATAGCAAAAATGTAAGTCAATTTATGTCAAAAGATTATAAACGGTAAAATGTTCCTATTAACATCATTTAAATAATATAAATTATTAAAAAGGAAAAAGTTCTATAATATTTGTATAAAAAAGAAATGTAAAAAATAAATTTATATATTTGAATAAATAGAAGAAATGCGTATTTTTATACTTATTAAATATTTTTATCATAGAGATGAAGCTGTGCAAATGTCTGGAATGCCTACTGCAAAAAACAGTATTGAAATGGAAAATCATGTTTTCCAAAAAGCAAAAACTAAGGTGTGTTGTTATTCTTTTCGTTTTTGTTTATTACCATTAGATTATCTGTATAAGAAATAAATAATATATTAAATATTCCAAGTGATAAATTGTTAATTATTTCAATTAATAACAAGTTCATTTATTTTTAGGAAGAATATCTAGGTTTTGTGGCCAGATTAATTCTACATGTCAGAGAATTAAGTAATATATTCATATATATATTTATTTTAATTTATATAAATTATAGATAAATAATTAACACTTTATAATATATTATACTTCTTTCAGATTCCAAAAAGGGCACAGGAGGTAATGCACCAGGTACAGGTGGTTCTGGAAATCAGGGTATGCCTGATCCAATTGGGGCATTACAAACATTGGCACGTCAAGGAACTGGAAACAATCAAATGATGAATATGAATGGACCAGGATCTAATCCTCAAGGAATAATCCCACAACCACCAACAAATACTGCTACCAATTGTAAGTATATATTTTGGTCATTAAATATAGAAATTGATAATACATTTTTAAACAAGTAACAGATTCTTTAAAAATACAAGCTAAAGTAATTATATAGATAAAATAATATTATCTTTTACAATATTTATAAATATATATTTTTTACATTTTTAATTTATATTACATATTTATTTAATTCACAATACATATTTAGTTTCCATATCTATTTTAACATAATGATATTGGGAAATAAGGTATATTGTTTTATACTAAAATATTCTAGTTGACGAGTAACAAGATATCTCATTTAGCTCTTTATTAATATTAAAACTAACGACATTTTATGTATACCTAGTCCTATCGTGTGCAGTCAAAATGACCAGTGATTAAAGAAGTAATAGTTTTTATGATTTAATTTAGATAATGGTTAATTTATTGCTAAATCTATATAAAATGATAAACTTTCATAAAATTTTGTCCAAATTTACTTTCGTTTAATTTCAATTATAGACTTAAATAGAATTATGCTTTTACTTATATAGAGGTATATCTTATTCAACTTCGTTGCATTTTTTACAAATTATTTTATTATCAAATGTACATTTGCCACATACATATTACACACATCTTAAACAAATTTTCGTAATTTTGTAACCTTTACAATTTTTTACTTGACAAACATTTTTGTAGTAATGAATCTGAACTTGTTAATAGTTATATTGTATGGCTTTTTTCTTGCAGTTCTTCATACAAAAGTAATGTATGCACGAGGTTTATAACAATTTTGTGAATTCTCTATAAGTTGGCCCTATATTGTAGATACCATTGCAAATTTATTGGTTTGTAAACGTTGGCTTCTTTCATTCTTCTTATCAAGTTGTATAAACCTCATGATTTCAGCAAAGTCATTCCAACTCATTGTTTTTGAAAAAAATGCAGTTCTCCAAATTTTATTTCACAAATATGAGATATCTAAATTTTTTGCCTGATATGCACTGTGGACATATAGCAGAGCAATAAATGCATCTAGTTTTATTGCATCTAGCTCCCTCTTAGTCTCCAATACTCTAAATGCTTCTTCTTCCATACATTTTATTATATGATCCCTCATACGGTGATCAATGATAAGATAAAATGCCATCTTTAGTTGTCTTTTCATTATATGCTGTTTAGTATATCCCTAAAAATATTATGAACTGATGTCCTGCCAGGTTTGGGACTTACACCTATTTCTCTCCAAAGTGCCCCAACGGGTCTAGTTTCGATACGTTGATTCTCTACATCAGTCTCACCCTTTGCTATCAATGATAATTTCTTTCCTCTTTGTCCTGGATGTGAACGCTTATTTATAATATTCAACTCTGATTCGGTTGTAAATAGCTTTTCATGTGTTTCCATGCCATTTTCAATTGCTGAAGTTTCTTGTTCATCGCACATTGAACAAGATACACTCTTTTTCTATGTCCGTTATTTTTTTTTTATAACTTTCTTTTAGAAGTCTTGACATTTCTAGGGTAAATATTTATCACAGAATAATACCATATATGGAATACAAAATTATTGTCAAATTTGATATGCTTTACTTTTGCTTTTATAACAACTTTACACAAAACGCTCTGAGATGCTTTCTGTCTGAGTTTTAGAGATAACAAGTTTAGATGTCAACTAATTTACTAACAAACTGAGATGTATTCTAGTGGAAAGGACAATTGTAAGTAAGAACATGGTCTGTGACAGCGATATTTATAC